GTGTCCCCCCCGTGCCTCCCTTGCAGCGGAACAAGTGGCAGCAGCAGGAGCTGATTGCGGAGCTGCGGCGGCGCCAAGCCAAGGACCATCGCCCCGTCTACGAGGGCAAGGACGGCACCATCGAGGACATCATCACCGGTACGGCCCCCCCCGGCCCCCCCAGCCCTGACACCCGGGTCCTGCCCGCGTGCGGGGAATGACGTTTCCCTGTCGTCGTCCCCCCCGCCCGTGCCCCCCCTGCAGCGCTGAAGAGCGTCCCCTTCACGGCCCGCACCGCCAAGCGGGGCTCGCGCTTCTTCTGCGACCCGTCCCACCACGACGAGTCCAACTGTTAGCCCCCAGGTACCGCCTGCATGCCGGGACCCCCGACCTCCTCCCAAAGGACGAATGACAAGACCAGAGGAAATGGTCTGAAGTTGGGGCAGGGGAGATTTAGATTAGATATTAGAAAGAACTACTTTACTGAGAGAGTGGTCAGGCCCTGGAACAGCCTGCCCAGGGAGGTGGTGGAGTCACCATCCCTGGAGGGATTTAAGAAATGTATAGACATGGCTCTTCAGGGCATGCTCTAGTGCCCAAGGTTATTGGTTTATGGTGAGGTGTTGAGTGTGGGGTTTAGTTGGTGGGTGCGGTGTTTTTGGTGGGCGTTTGGTGTGGGGTGTTTTTTGGGGTTTTGTTTTTTGTTTTGGGTTTTTGTTTTTTTTTTTTTGTGGTTGGACTCGATCTCAGAGGTCCCTTCCAACCACTAAGATTCTGTGATTCCCCGTTCCCATCCCCGCAGTGTCCCTGGAGAACGTGCTGCTGGATGTGAAGGAGCTGGGCCGGGGGATGGAGCTGCTGCGGCGGGAGTGCGGGCTGCACGAGAGCGGCGTCCTGCGCGCCTTCCTGGCGGGCAGCGAGGGGAAGCTGGAGCGGCTGCAGAAGGACGCGCGGACGGCTGAGGTGAGGGCTGCGCCTCACACGGCTCCCGTGCACCCCTTGCACGCACGCCTGGCTTCGGGCGGCTCTTGTGCACGTCTTCGTGGTACGCTACTGGTGCATGCCTTGCTTTTCACACCCCTCATGCATGTCTTGCTACACACAGCTTGCTTTGCAGGGCTCTTGTGCACAGCTTGCCTTGCACACTGCTTGTGCATGCCTTGCTTTTCACACCCCTCATGCATGTCTTGCTACACACAGCTTGCTTTGCACGGCTCTTGTGCATGCCTTGCTTTTCACGGCCCTTGTGCATGCCATACTCTGCACGGCCCTTGTGCACGCCTTGTCACACACGGCTTGCTTTGCACGCTCCTTGTGCACGCCTTGCCTCACACAGCCCTCATCCACACCTTGCTTTGCACGTCCATTGTGCACGCTCGTCTTGCTTTGCACACTCCACGCGTGTGCCTTGCTTTGCACAGCCCTCACGCACACCTTACTTCTCACATTCCTTGTACACGCTTTGCTTTTCGCAGCCCTTGCTTTGCACACTCCTCAAGCACGCCTGTCTTGTTTTGCATGCTCCATGTGTGTGCCTTGATTTGCACGGGCCTTGTGCGCGTCTTGTCACACACACCTTTGCAGGCTCTTTGTGTGTGCCTTGTTCTGCATGCTCCTCCTGCACGCCTTCCTTTGCACACTCCTCGTGCAGGTCTTGCTTTGCACAGCCCTTGTGCAAGTCTTGCTTTGCACACTCCTCGTGCACACCTTGCCTTGCACACCCCTTGTGCCCGTGGGTGACAGTCCCGTCCCCCGTTGCAGGACGCCTACAACACCGTGGTGCGGTATTTCGGCGAGAGCCCCAAGACCACCCCCCCGTCTGTCTTCTTCCCGGTCTTTGTCCGGTTCATCCGCTCCTACAAGGTGAGGTGGGGCCGGGAGGGGACAGGCGGGGGGGTGGTGACACCGGTGACAAATCGTGGGGGGGATGTGTGACAGTGGTGTCTCCCACTGCCCGGCAGGACGCAGAGCAGGAGAACGAGACGCGGAAGAAGCAGGAGGAGGTGATGCGGGAAAAGCTGCTGGCGCAGGAGGCAAAGAAGCAGGAGAAGGTGGGCACAGGGGTAGGCTTGG